TGAAAATCTTGTTTTTGCCAACAAAGTTTTTTTTTTTCAAACTGGAAAAAATCATACTTTCTTTTCGACCAAAAAACACAAAAAAGCAGGCCACAAAACTTTTACATGTCATTGTGGAGATAGACATTCGCATGTATGTATTTATGATAGCATATATTAGATAATATATGTATGTATAAAAGGGTGGAGTGATATAATATTAGATTTTCAATATAAAATAATATTCTCAATATTAAATAATATTTTCAATATTTTTAATAGGTAGTTGTCATACTTTATCTGGCAACTCCTGGAAATAAACATTGGACTTAGGTTCTCAGAGATAATGTGCTGCATGTCAAGATACGCGGTTGTAGGGTCATGATATCTAAGCCGAGTTTGGTTTTCTATTGCCAAAGAGGCCAGCTGAAAATGTGTACCTTCGGTTGGGCACCAGAAATCAAGCGCCGACCTTGATGATGGTGTGGACCGCCATAAAAGCCGATGGTCGCTCTCCGTTCGTACTAATCGACGATGACATCAGAATAAATGCAGAATATTATCGCGAAAATATTTTAGAGGGTATATTAAAGTCTTGGGCACGCAAACATTCTGGCCGCAGACTTTGGACATTCCAACAGGACACAGGATCATCACACTCAACACGCGCCAACAAAGAAAGGTTACAAAATAAGGTTCCTCGCTTCATTTCCAGCGCACAATGGCCACCAAAATCTCCGAATACCAATCCGTTGGACTATAGTGTCTGGAGTATTTTGGAAAGCAAAGTTGGCATTGAAAAATATCAAAGTGTCAATCACCTCAAGCAAGCGCTTCGCCGGAATAGGTCAAAATACCGCAGAGCAACATTTGGGCAGCGTGTGACAGTTTCATTGGCCGTTTGAATGCCATAATTCGTGCCAAAGGTGACTAATTCGAACAAATCTAAACTTATTCTAAAATTTAACGCAATTTCCGACATTTTTTGCTTTGTTGCAGTTTCTTTTGTCTCACCCTGCAATTAATTCTTTTCACATTCTTCCTTATAAATTCCTTTCCAACATTCTTAACCACCCTAAGGTGTAATAATATTGAGTTTTGAACACTTTGAAAATTGTTTGAGACATAACAACAACCATAACCAATATAACGTCATGAGAATAACGGAAAAATGTTCTTCAAAATAAAGTTGGAATTGAATTTTCTCCAAAAAACAGAGGGAATGCATTTTGCCACAAAAAAAAAAAAAAAAAAAAAAACTCTACCATTGGTACCTACATTACTTTGGGAGCACAGAACGACCTCAATTCTCTCTGCATATTTTTCTGAGGTTAACTTTGAAGAAAATTGTAAACATGTGAAAAGGGAGCACCAAAAAAGAAACGAAGTGCATATCTAGCAAATCTTAAACAACAAAAGTCAAACTTTCGTAGATAACTAATAAACCATAAACAAGGGAATTCAAACCGCATAAAAGCAAAACAAAAAAAAAAAAAAAAAGTATAGAAGTTAAGAATTTGCTTCTCGTCATGCAATGGCATCAAAATTAAATTCAAAACATTTTATAAGTGAATTAGACAACATATTGTGGGACTTATTCCCGACATGCCCATAATTTTAGGGAGAGGTAGGCAAAACTTGTTGATATTAAAATGATAGAAGGTAATTTTGTTAAATTGTGGGACATATAAAGCCCTATGTTGAAATCAGATGAGAACATATGTGCTTTTTACTGGTACTTCCTTTTCTCATAAGTGTCATAAAAACCGCTGGTTTTTCGTATTTATTTTCCTTTAAGGATACCTCGTTTTCGAACGAAGTTTGCTTCGAGCTAAAGCGAAAATACAGTTGGCTCTTTTCTACTCACAGGAGTGCTCCCGCTTGAATATGAGCGAGTTTTACTCTTTACTCGAATTCGAGCGAGTTTTTTCGGAGGTATGTTTTAAAGGCTTTAGCCCAAAAGTTGATTAATTCTTTGGGATTTCAAATTATAATTCAGGGAAATGTCTAAGCGTTTTTATTGAATCCCAATATTCTCAATTTCGAGCAACTGAAACATGTCGACGAAGCCAAATTTTTTTAATTAATACCCATGATTATTTCGGATTGTGTTTGGAATTTTTAAATTCCGGACTGACCCACTGGCTTATCTTGCCCTATAAGGAAGGATCCCTAATAGCAGAGCGCGTAAACCACGCAAATCTGAACGTTATATAAGGATTTCTGCTTCTGTTCGCTGTATATACAAGGCTCTCTGCTCCAGATCACCATATTTGGACGGTTTTCTGCTTCCACTCGCCATATAAAGAAGGCTTTTTGCTTCAACTTGAGAAGGCTCTCTACTACAGTTCTTCGTGTAAGGAAGGCTCTCTGTTTAATTCGACATCTATGTTTCTTACCATATAATAAATCCTCTCTCTCTTCTGCTCTCCTTATAATGAAGGCTCTTTATGATTCAGCTCGGCCCATTAGAAGGGATCCCTGCTTCTACTCACACATAAGGCTCTGCCTCAGTATTGCCTAAATAAAGTATCTCTACTTCAGCTGAACATATGTGGAAGTCTATCCGCTTCAGTTTGCTATACAAGGAGTCTCTCTGCCTCAGCTCGCCATGTGGGAAAGCCCAACTTCTTCAGCTGTCTATATAAGGAAGCATACCTACTTCAGTTCGACAGTTAAGGACAGCTCTCTGACTGAGCACACCATATAAGAAAGGTTCTCTGCTTTAGTCGCCATGTAAAAAGGTTCCCTGCTTCAGCTCGCCATATTACAGTCTCTCTTCCTCAGGAAGCTATAAGGGAGCCTATATGCTTCTGCTGCTTATATAAGGAAGCCTATCTGCTTCAGATGTCCATAAAAATAGACGCATATCTGCCTCAGCTCGACATATATATAGAACTCTCTCTACGTCCGCACACCATGTAAAAAAGGCTCTCTGCCTTAGCTCGTCATATAAGAAAGGCTCCCTTCGTAGCTTACAGCATAAAGAAGGCTCTCTGCTTTAGCTTGCTATGTAAGCAGGGACCCTGCTTCAGCTCGCCATATAAGGAAGACTCTCTCTCAGTTCACCACATAATGGAGGGTCTCTGGTTCAGCTCGGCATATATGGGTTCCCTTCCTCGCCCATAACGAGAGCTCCCTGATTCAGCTCAGCCTATGAGAAATGTTTCGCTTATAGGGAAAACTTCCAATTTCAAAACGTCTATAAGCAACGTCCTCAGCCTCACCTCGCCTGTATGGAAAGGTCTTGAGCTCACCTATAAGGAAAGGCTCTCAGCTCCCGCTTCAGCATGCTTAAAAGGAAAAACTTCTAGTCTCAGTTTCCCTATTGGAAAAGGCTGCCAGCCTAAAGGGAAGGACTGCAAGCTTCAGTTTCCCTGTGGGAAAAGGCTAACGGCTTCAGTTCGCCTACATGGAGAGGTTCCCGGTGTCAATCTGGCTGAAGCTATCAGTTTAAAGCTATCAACAAGAACGACTTGGTGTTGCTTTTTAAAACAAAGGCCTCATGCATCCGCTGGCATGTAGGGAAGGCTTCTTGTGTCAGCTCGGTTATAAGCATACGTAATTTAACTCCTTCATAAGGGAGGCTCCCTATTTCACATACATAGAGATATATTAGAATTCTTCTAGATAAGATAAGGCCCTTTTCATACCCTCAGCCATATGGCTACAGAGGGTATATATCATTTGATACGGCATTCTGGACCTAAACCACAAACAGCCAAAATTTTCAATACTTTTATCTGTCATAACTGGCGAAAAAAGTCGGCGATTATTTACAACTTCCTATATCTAAATATTACTCTTAACCAGAAATCTGATATGAATAAGTAATATATCGAAATTTACGATTTTGCATAAAATTGGATATAAATGTTCAATTTTCTTTAAATAGAATAGAATTTTTCTAAATTTCCAAAAAATTATTTAAAACGAATTCCAGCTGCCCACACTTGTTCTTTTCATTCATTTCTCAAGTCATATCTAGATGAAAACCCCTTAATTTTTCTTCGCCATCGGAAAAAACAAGGAAAATATGTCACATTGCCCCTCTTCAACCAGAACAATATGAACAATTAATCTTTTGCGTCTTTGTTTTCTCTCGTGTCCATTTTGCTTATCAATAATCTCCTAATGAAAGGCTCCAGGAAAGACAAATTACTGTCATTATTACAGGACATGACAAGTTGCTGGACAGAAAAAAAAACCAAAAACAAAAACAAAAACTTTTGGCAAACTCATTGTTTTGCATTTAAATAAGGCTAAGACGTTTTTTTGGTTAGGTTGCGTTTAACTTGTCATAAAGAATTAACCTGAGAAAAAAGGACAATAAAATTAAAAGCATCTTTGAGAGAGAGGTGGTGAGGGGAACACCCTTTTTTCCACTGAATGACCCTTGTCAGGGAGATAAGAATGGAAGAAAATGTTAAAGCAATCTTTCAAAAAAGAGTGTTGCCCCCCTTTTGGCCTGGTAAATATTTGGGAGCAACAAATACTGGGCGGCATTCATAAAATTTATTAAAAATAAAACTGAAGTAATTTGTCTACAAAATAAAAATGCTACAAAAACGAACTCTTTTCTAATAAATTAGAAAAAAAGGAGAACAACAACGGGGCATGAAATTTATAAAAATAATGGAAACAATCATAAATTTAAAACATTCATAAATTTTAGCCACAACCTTTTTGTGGTGAATGATGGAGCAGCGACAAACTGGGCGTTCCGTTCTGTCAAAAACAGGGAAAACCTCAAAAACAAATAAACGCACACACACACATACACCAAAGCCTAGGAGATTGTTTTCTGTGCGGATGGCCCGTGGAAAACTGTGAGCAAGGAAAAAGGAAAATACTTCCTCCAAGCATTACTTGTTCATAACGATTTAATGAATCCTTATAATTAGTAATAACCGGCTATTAGTATTTGTTGTTGTTGTAGTTTTTTTGTTTGTTTTTGCTTTGTGATTATTTGTTAAAGAATTGTAACTCTAAGTCGGTATTTAGTACGAAACACCACTTACCTCCAAAGGAAGAAGGCCATAACAATCAGCACAATGCCAAAGCAGCTGAAAATGATGCCGACCAAAACGGCCAAGTTATAATCGTTGTGCGATTGACGTAACAAAGGTTGTATCTTTTCACAGTTGGGCTGCAGGCCAATCTGAAATTGAAAAATTGAAGAGAAAGGGGAGAGAGAGAAATTGTTGTTCAGTAAGGGTTAGAATGAGTTGATAAACAAATTAAATACATTTTGCCCTAAACGACAGATGTAGTTATTAATTTTTATTTTATCATCAAAATAATTTATAAAAAATTTTAAGACTTATGATAATTTTTTTTCGTATACTAAATTTTAAGATGTTTTATTTTTAATTATATAAAAAATTTTTATTTTATCATCAAAATAATTTATAAAAAATGTTAAGACTTATGATAATTTTTTTTCGTATACTAAATTTTAAGATGTTTTATTTTTAATTATAAAAAAAAAATTTATTTTATAAAACACCGAGCTAGGATATATAACAAATTTCAGGATTTTAGCTCTGTTTCTTCATTCAATGCCAAATTTATTTACAATTAATACTTTTTGTACAATTGTAGTACACATTTCAAAAATCACCTCCATATATCTATTCCAGATACCAATAAAGACCTCAATATCAAATTTCAGGATTCCAGTACCTTCAATTTACCCAGTACCAAATTTAGTAACCCTTAGTACTTTTCTTACAAATATAGGAAGCATTTTAAAATCATTGCTAAATTTCAAATACAGATACCATCAGTGATCCTAAAATCAAATATCAGATTTATATCTTTATCCCTTCACCCAATACCAAAACTTTTCGTGCAATTATAGTATATATTTCCGAAATATACCAAATAATACCAAATTGTAGATTTCAAGGATTATCTGCTCATCCAAAGCAAAATTGTATCAAACGTAGTAATATTTAGTACTCTTCGTGCAATTGTAGTACACATTTCCAAATGACATATTTATCACAAATCTACCACCAACAGGGACCCCAAGATAAAGTTCCAAATTTCCGTTAACACTAAACCGAACTATTCCAAATTTAGTACCATTTAGTACCTCACTTAGTACACACTTCCAAAACCACCTTCATATATCCAACTTTAATTCTGATATAAAATTTAAAGTTTATACCTTTATCGGGTCACATAATACCAAATAGTACCACTTTAGAACATTTCCTGAATTGAAAGCTCGAATAACCCTTTGGTGTGTCAATCCTACACTCCATCAAATTTTTCAAATTTCCCAGTTCCAGCTCCATCGGTTCATCACCATTCCAATTTGTACCAAATTTAATAGCATTTACTATACACATAATACGAAATTCAAAAGCTTCCTGCATAGCCCAAATCTACACTCCCACGGTAATACCAATACCAAGTTATAAGATTACACCACTGTTGGTTCGCCCAAATAAAAATTGTAATTTATTTAGTACATTTTAGCACAAATTTCCAAAAAATTCCTACACTCCGACAATAATGTTATATTCAAATTTCACGATACCAGCTCTATTGGTCCAGTCAAATCCAAATTGTACCAAATTTAGTGCCTTTAGTAAACTTAAGTACAAATGTTGATAATTACCTATTTTTGAAATTTCAGGATTCCATATCTACCGGTTCACCTAAAATTTAAATTGTACCAAATTTAGTACCATTTGGCACACATAAGTTCGATGCAATAGCAATCATATTTCCAAATTTCAGGATTCGAACTCAATTGATTCCCCCAAAATTTAAATTGTATTAAATTTAGTACGAAATCCCAAAACTACCTACATTCCTCAGTTCTAGAATACAATAATAGTATAATTTATAAATTTCAAAATCCCAGCTCTATCGGTTCACCCAAATCGAATTTGTACTAAAGATAGTACTATTTAGTACATTTCTTGCATATAGGTACGCATTTTGAAAACTTCCCCCATATCCCAATTCTGCATACCGACAGTAATGATAATTTTAAATTTCAAGATTCCAGCTCTATGCGTTCCTCCAAATTCAAATTGTAATAAATTTTGAACCATGTAGTACTTTTTGTGCACATAAGTACACACGTTCAAAACTACCTCCTCCCATCGACTCTACTCCTTAACCTTGATTCTCATTCCAAATTTCTAAAAGTTCACATGATACGAAATTGTACTAAATGTAGTACATTTTAGTACTTTTCGTACACTTATAGTGCGAATTTCCAAAAACCCTTTGGTACATCTATCATACACTCCAACAGTGACCCTCATTTCAAATTGAAGATGTCTAGCTCCACTGCTTCTTTAAATACAAACGGTACCATATTTAGTATAATTAAATACTTTTCGTACCGTTCTACTACAAATTTCCGAAAAACCCAGGCTTATCTGAACCCTTGGGACCAAGAACACAACCCAAATTTTCAAGATTCTAGCTTCCGTTTCTAGCTGTTTCGTCTGAGCATCAATGAATCGTTAAGTCAGTCACTCAACTACTTTACTCTTTTGTTAGTTTAGCCATATTGAGCCCCTTTAAAGTTTCCGAAACTCTTAGGTTCTTGTACCTAACCGAATCTTTAGATGTGACCGTAGCTCTTGGATTCCTCATGCCTTATATAGACCTTAAGTTGCCCAAAGCTCTTTGGTTCTCGCAAATAAATCAGTTTTTAAGTCCCTTTATATTTGAAACCGCTTTAACCCCTTGGGTATCCATTGCGAGGTGGAGTGACAGTTTTATGAGTTTTTTTCATAAGTTGATCGGTTCATAATTAAAATAAACATGTCTATGTAATTCTCTGCTGATATTAATGTTTTTGCGCACCTTAATTTCGCTTAATTGGTTCTTCTTTTATTTTTCTCTTTAATTTATTTGCTTTCATATTAAAATTCCTTGGAAGCAGTAAATTAAATTTTTTCTCCCTCCCCAACTGCGAAGTCCAAGTCAAACACTGAAGTGTCTACTTTAAATGACCATAAACATTAAGGTTAAGCCACAAATGTCCTATTGTGTGACAGAGTGCAAATTACTTTTTCCTAGAGAAAAAAAACGACAACAAGGATACAACACAACAATGTCCTTGCGGTGGTGGCAAACAAATGCCAAGTAACATGTTTAAGAACTGACAACGTAAAACGATGATGAAAACAATAAATGCTTTTCAGATAATGAATGTATTTTCTATTAAGGTGTGTTGGGGGGCGTATTTACAAAAAAAAACTAGTGTCATTTAAATTGTTTGTTATTAAAAAATACTTCCTACAGGGGAATAAGGATAAGGATTTTATGATAGTTTTGATTATTCAAAATGTTGACCCTTTGTGGGCGAGGTACCAGAAGGAATTGTTCGATCTCCACTATCTTTTTAACAGATCTTCTGTTGATAGAAATATTGAGATTAGCCTAGTCTAAAAGGGATCAGGTGTTAATTTCGCGTTTTATGAGCGAAATTTATGTTGACCTTTTGTGGGGGAGGTACCAGAAGGAGTGCGCTGATATATATCTTCACAGCAGATCTTGTGTTAGTAGGAATAATGGGATGTGTGAAATATGAAAATAACCGGATGCTCGGATTTTATGATCGTTTTGATAATTTAAAATTTTGAGGTTTCAGAAGGAATGACCCGATCTCTACCATCTTTATAACCGATCTTGTGTTTATAGACATATTGAGATGTGGCATGTGTGAATGGAATCGGATATTAATTTCGCGTTTTATGAGTTTCATGGATAATTAAAAATTGTGATTCTTTGTGTGGGAGGTACTAGAAGGAGTGGGTTGATATATTCCATCTTCACAGTAGATCTTGTTTAGTAGAAATAATGGGATGTGTGAAATATGATAAGAACCTTACGCTTATTTCGGATTTTATGATCGTTTTGATTATTCACCGATATTGTCCATTTTCGCACCTGACCTAGCACTGATGCAAATATTGGGATTTACAAAGTAGGAGCAAAATCGGATTATCCTTTCTCTTTGTGTGCAGTAAAATATTTTTTTTTGGAAAATGTCACCTTTTTTGGGGGAGTTACCTGAAGGAGTGGATATATATTGCCCATCTCCAAACTTGATCTAAGTTTGATAATAATGTTACGATGTACTAAGTGTGGACCAAATCGGATACTGCCTTGGAGAGTTATCGTGCGCAAATAAATTTGTGGGGGGAGGTACCTTATGGAGTAGGCCGATATTGCTCATCTTCGAACTTGATCTAAGTTTTATAATAATGTTACGATGTACCAAGTTGGGACCAAATCGGATACTCTGTTTGAGAGTTATCATGCACACCAACCAGACGGACGGACGGACGGTCATCGCTAGATCGCCTCCTGAAACGGATTTGGTGTAAAGAGAGAGTAAAGAGACCTGGGGTCTAAAACAGTTATTTCGATAAGGCACGTTTTGATCGTAACAAGTGATATCTACCCCCTCTAACCATATGACTGAGGGTATAAAAAAGGAATTTCGGTAGAAAAACTAGTCGAGTTGTGTTCCTGCGTAACAATGAGGTTCAAAAGAAATATTCATCAAAAGGAACGATCGGAGCTATATGCAACTCTCTCGGTTATTGAGTTCCTTTATTTCACCTAGTTCCATTAGTTCCTCTCTACTCATGGTAGAGGAATACAGGTAGACTGTCAAACCAATTTTAGAATTGAAAATTTAGAATGAAAAATTATTCAAATAATAATCCCCGATTGACGTCGTATAAGAAAACATCTAAAAACCCTACTTATATTTCAAAAACATTTTAACATTTTTGACACATCAATGTTCCCAAGCATTGATGCACCTACCTGTATTCTTCTACCATGCTCCCTGTTATTAAATTCACAACCTTTGTGATTCTCCCATTACTTTTTGTATATTTTGATTGGCCTTAAGGATTGTTGAGTATTTTTTTTAAGAATTTATATCAACCTTTTATTGATTTTCCGTTATAAGCTTTCTTTTCATAATTAAAATGGGACAAACAAACTCTTCAAAAGTTTTATATAGCCTTAAGAAAATGCCTTTTTCCTATTCTCGCTGAGACTTCCTTAGACCTCGTTGTTTGAACTCATTTGCACTAATTTTTTAAAACACCCCCTCCAAAAGAAAACTGAAAAGAAAATATATATCCTCAGTCTATTATGAAGTTGATTTATTTCCGGTCTACATATCCTTATCATTTTGAAGAAACTAAAAATGACGAATTACAAAAAGAAAAAAAAAAACTTGTCCATCAAAATGGCCCAAGGAATGAGTACACAAAAACTGAAGCTCTATCAAATGAAAATGATAAAAAGAATTTATCTTCTCTCTGATGATGAGAAAAAAACGAAGTCGAAGGAAATGACTTAAGGGGTTTTTACTGACATTTGCCATGACAATGCAGGAAATGTCAGTAATGCCAGAGAGAAACATTTGCCAAGTTTTTTTCTGAGTTAATTTTACTTAGCAGTGAAATGAAGAGAAAAAAACATATCTCTCAACTTGTTTTTTTTCAGTAAATTTACTAATATGCGGATATTTATGTCTTCTGAATGCAAGGGCGAACAGAGTTTTGAAATTTGTTTTTTGTTCTTGTTCGCAAGTGCTACAATGCCGATTTTGAAGCCAATTTACTGTGAATATTTAATTCCTGGTGAGTTTTTTTTTTTACTGTTGTTGTTGTGACTGCCTTCCATATTATCATAGTTATGACAGTTGCATAACATTGGCTTGCTGCCAAGAGAGTATTTTTTGCATATTCATAGTTTTAATTGCAACTTATATTCCATCCATTCATTTATTACAAGAATTTCTGAAACCAATGCCAATGTCTGTGGGAATAATTTAGAATAAGAAACCGCAAACAATATTATTTACTTTCATCTATGTTTGTTTAAATTAAGCATAAAGTTCGATAAACTTGCAAGTCGTACTTATTTTCGTTTGTGGTAGAAATGTCAACTACACCTAGAAAAAACTAGGAAGCTATACACCGTTAGAAATATCGATGTACATAAACATAAATTCCTTCATTTTTTGCAGAGATTCGGTGGAATGTTTTGGTCATATTGAATACACATTTTTTAAAAAAAATATTCTTTAATAAATCCACCTCTAGAAGGCTCTTTAAAAAATATTCTTTAATAAATCCACGTCTAGAATGCTCTTTAAAAAATATTCTTTGAAAAATTCACGTCTAGAATGCTCTTCAAAAAATATTCTTTAAAAATCCACGTCGAGAAGGCTCTTTAAAAAATATTCTTTAAAAAATTCACGTCTAGAAGGCTCTTTAAAAAATATTCTTTAAAAATTCAAGTCTAGAAGGCTCTTCAAAAAATATTCTTTAAAAAATCCACGTCTGGAAGGCTCTTCAAAAAATAATCTTTAAAAAATTCACGTCTAGAAGGCTCTTCAAAAAATAATCTTTAAAAAAATCCACGTCTAGAAGGCTCTTCAAAAAATAATCTTTAAAAAATCCACGTCTAGAAGGCTCTTCAAAAAATATTTTTTAAAAAATCCACGTCTAGAAAAATATTGTTTAAAAAATCCACGTCTAGAAGGCTCTTCAAAAAATAATCTTTAAAAAATCCACGTCTAGAAAAATATTCTTTAAAAAATCCACGTCTAGAAGGCTCTTCAAAAAATATTTTTTAAAAAATCCACGTCTAGAAGGCTCTTCAAAAAATATTATTTAAAAAATTCACGTCTAGAAGGCTCTTCAAAAAATATTTTTTAAAAAATCCACGTCTAGAAGGCTCTTCAAAAATATTATTTAAAAAATTCACGTCTAGAAGGCTCTTCAAAAAATATTTTTTAAAAAATCCACGTCTAGAAGGCTCTTCAAACAAATATTATTTAAAAAATTCACGTCTAGAAGGCTCTTCAAAAAATATTATTTAAAAAATCCACGTCTAGAAGGCTCTTCAAAAAATATTATTTAAAAAATCCACGTCTAGAAGGCTCTTCAAAAAATATTATTTAAAAAATCCCGTCTAGAAGGATCTTCAAAAAATATTATTTAAAAAATCCACGTCTAGAAGGCTCTTCAAAAAATATTATTTAAAAAATCCACGTCTAGAAGGATCTTCAAAAATATTATTTAAAAAATCCACGTCTAGAAGGCTCTTCAAAAAATATTATTTAAAAAATCCACGTCCTCTTCAAAAATATTATTTAAAAAATCCACGTCTCTTCAAAAAAATATTATTTAAAAAATCCACGTCTAGAAGGCTCTTCAAAAAATATTATTTAAAAAAATCCACGTCTAGAAGGCTCTTCAAAAAAATATTATTTAAAAAATCCACGTCTAGAAGGCTCTTCAAAAAATATTATTTAAAAAATCCACGTCTAGAAGGCTCTTCAAAAAATATTATTTAAAAAATCCACGTCTAGAAGGCTCTTCAAAAAATATTATTTAAAAAATCCAGTCTAGAAGGCTCTTCAAAAAATAGTATTTAAAAAATCCACGTCTAGAAGGCTCTTCAAAAAATATTATTTAAAAAATCCACGTCTAGAAGGCTCTTCAAAAAATATTTTTTTAAAAAATCCACGTCTAGAAGGCTCTTCAAAAAATATTATTTAAAAAATCCACGTCTAGAAGGCTCTTCAAAAAATATTATTTAAAAAACCCACGTCTAGAAGGCTCTTCAAACAATATTATTTAAAAAATTCACGTCTAGAAGGCTCTTCAAAAAATATTATTTAAAAAAATCCAAGTCTAGAAGGCTCTTCAAAAATATTATTTAAAAAATCCACGTCTAGAAGGCTCTTCAAAAAATATTATTTAAAAAATCCACGTCTAGAAGGATCTTCAAAAAATATTATTTAAAAAATCCACGTCTAGAAGGCTCTTCAAAAATATTATTTAAAAAATCCACGTCTAGAATGCTCTTCAAAAAATATTCTTTAAAAAATCCACGTCTAGAAGGCTCTTCAAAAATATTCTTTAAAAAATCCACGTCTAGAAGGCTCATCAAAAAATATTCTTTAAAAAATCCACGTCTAGAAGGCTCTTCAAAAAATATTCTTTAAAAAATCCACGTCTAGAAGGCTCTTCAAAATACGTTCTTTAATAAAATTACGCCTAGAAGGCTCTTTAAAAAAATCAACGTCTAGAAGGCTCTTCAAAACTCCTTGTGTGAATTTTCGTGCTTAAAATCATCAAAATACCGAATATCGGGGGGTACCGTCATATGGCTATACGTCTTAGAATTTTACGCTGATCAAAAAATTATTATTTCGATGAGTTACAAACGAAATGACAAACTTAATATTGTTTGGCCCAAGGATGAACCCTATTAAAATTGGCGATGATTGGATCAGATTTAGGTATAACTCCCATATACAGGTTGAGATAAAAAAACTGTAACAAGGTCAAACGCCATCATTTTTAAATTCTTTTTTTTTTTTTAATTTTATGGAATGAAAGCTAAAAATATCGGAAATAGCATCAACTTTTAGAATAAGTTTGGATTAGTTGGATTAATTGGTCACCTTTGGCACGAATTATGGCCTTCAAACGGCCAATGAAGGCCTTAACCTTTTAAATTTAAATTTATCTCCATTCTCTACACAAATACTTTTTATATGTATTGTTTTTAACACACTAATATATTTTTTCCTTAAAAAAAAACAACAATTCCTCTTACCTTACGTCCTTCCGAAAATTTGCCCAAAATAATTTTCTTTGGAACAATCACGCTGTAGGTGGCTGCGGCAACTTTAACTTCGTACAGCTGGTACATGGTAAGATTTTGTATAATCATCTGGAAAGATATTAGCAAAACAAGAAGTAAGATTCAAATCAAAATTTGTAAAAAAAAAACTATTATTTAGAATAAATATATGAAACGGAAACATATCATGAATATTACATAAATTTCCGGTTACTTTGTTTCATGTTTGTATTGAAAAAACAAGAAATAAAGAAACAGAAAAAACGAAAAATATTTAAATATTTGCAACAGTACACAGAATTTGTTTCCCCAATAAAAAAAAAAAACACATACAAATATATGAAGGGTTTTATTTTACATTTCTGTGCATGTGTGTGTGTGAGTGAGGGATTCTGTGTGTCGGTGCGTTTGTTTTTATTTTATTTCAATACCAACAAATATTGCATCAAATTTTATTTGAATATGTGCTAACGATCGAAAACAAACTTTGATTATGATTTTGATGCTTTGTTGGTATTGTTGTTGAGGCTGATGTTGGTGTTGTTGTTGCCGTTGTTGCCTTCACAGTCATCAGTTATATTTTTCCATTCCGGAAAGGATAAACTTTATATCGCAGGCTTTTAAATGTTTTCACAGTCGAACGGAAAAATGTTTATGTGTGCACATTGACGTTTGTAAACGCCAACAATATATCAAATATGTATGGGATTTGGGTGTGTGTCCGTGTGTGTGTGTGTTTATGTATTTTTTATATATTTTTATGGAATCGGCATACACACATCAATATGTGCATATCTGTATCTCCGCCGATTCATATTCTTTGCCGATTCATGCATATTCATGTTGCCAAAAATGCTCTGATTAATTTGAGAGCATTGCGATTCGCGTTACACACACACAAACACTCATTTCTATATGCATATGTGTTTTATTATTTTAAATACATTTGGTCGAGATTTCAAATTTCAAAAAAAAAAAAAAAAAAAAAAAAAATAGAATGTGAAGAGCTTTTCTTGTATGAGAAGAGTTGTTTAGCGGAAATCGATTTGGAATTGAATGGTAAAAATTTTACAATTTGTAAATTGAATGAATGTTCCATAAAAATATAGAAGAATAAAATCAAGCTTGAGGAGTAGAGTCGATGTAAGGAGGTAGTTTTGGAAGTGTATACTTATGTATACGAAAGTACTAAACGGTACTAAATTAAGTACAATTTGAATTTGGAGGAACGGATGGATCTGGAATACTGAAAATTCAAATTAACATCACTAGCGGAGTGTAGGATTGGGATATGGAGGAGGTTTTCGAAATTTTCTACTCATGTGCACGAAAAGTACTAAATTTGGTGTTAAATTTGGTACAATTTCGATTTGGGTGAACCGATAGAGCTGGAATTCTGAAATTTAGAAATGAGATTACTATTGCATTTTAGGACTGTGGTATGTGGATAATTTTGAAAATTCGTACTTATGTGTACTGAATTAAATTTGGTGCAAATTGGAATTGTGGTGAACCTGAAACTGTATGATTGAGGTATTTAGGTAGGTTTGGACATTTGGAGTAGGATTAGGATATGTAGGAAGTTTGGGAAATGCGTACTTATGGGTACTAAATTTGGTACAATTGGGATATGTGTGAGCTGGAATCTTAAAATGTAATATTAATTTAATATTAATTATTACGAATAGTACTAAATGATATTACATTTGGTATTGGGTAAAGGGATAGAGCTGCAATCCTCAAATTTGATATTGAGGTTTTTATCGGTATCTGGAATTGAGATATGGAGGAGACTCTGCAGAACACATTTGCAAAGTCTAATTGTACGAAAAGTTCTAAATGGTACTATAGTTGGTATTGGGTGAAGCGATAGAGATAAAAATCTGATATTTGATTTTAGGATCACTGATGGTGTCTGTGTTTGAGATTTAGCGGCATTTTAAAATGCATTCTATATTTGTTCCCAAAATACAAAGTGGTACTAAATTTTGTCTTGGGTGAATAAATTGTGCTGTTATACACAACTTTGACACTGAGGTCTCTGTTGATATCTGGTATTGAGATATGAAGGTGGTTTTGGAAGTAGTACATATTGTACGAAAAGTACAATCTGGTACTATTTCGCTATTGGGTAAAGAGAGAGAGCAGACAACCTGAAATTTGATTGGTGTCTGTGGTTGAGAAAAGGAGGTGCCGTTGGGTGTTGGGATAGAAATGGAATTCTGGAATTTGCTATCGAGCTCATTGTTGGTGCCTAGGGTGGTTTTTAATAAGTAACTGTATAAAAAGAATGGTAATGCATCTGTGACTTGGTCTTAGGATACAGCTGTTGTTGGTTTTTTGGGTTTACATATGGAGACGTTGAAATATTCTTGGACAAAAAAAAAATGGATGTGGGTCCATTCTGCAATGATTTTACTACCATTCCCCTCGGTCAACATTAAAATTAACAATTTTGAACGACTTTTTGGTGTAAAAGATAAGAATAATCCTATTATTCTTTTCAAAAATGAAAAATTTTAATAATGACTTCTAAAACCTGGAAAGTCTTTAAACTGAATGCGAAGTATGAAGTTATGATTAGAAAATTTTATCAAAAATAAAAAATATGCATTTGTAGCACTAAAATGGCCTAACACGAGCTCTTGGAACGAATAACTCCCTCGAATTTGTACAAAGAGTAAAACTCACTGGCATTGGAGAGGGGGCGCTCCTGGGAGAAGAAAAAAATCAAGCAAACCCAATTTTTCCATGTTGCTCGTATAGGAGTGAGTATGTTCATCTCGTTTTTGAGTGGGAGCAACATTTGTTCGAAATCGAGCTGATTCTACTCTTAGCGAGCTCTCTTTTAGGGTTTGCCATACCGTTGTTGTTTTTCTATGTATGTGAGTTTTTTTTTCTGTACAAAAATCTTTTCTTTATTTAAAAATACTTTCACACTCATGGCAACACCTCACAAACAACATGTATGCCAATCTTGTTGTAAGATATACTATTTTTTCCACTGCCATGCAGTAGACTCAACAACAAAGTTTCTATGCCAGCAATAGTTTTTTTCTCTTAGTTTTCAACATTTCAGCAAAATTATTTTCTATATTAGATTTTTGTAACTAAAAACTTTTTCCTCTGCCAATATAGAGAGGGAGAGAAAAAATGAGGAGAGATGAAACCCCAAAAATTGGCAAAAATATGAAAATATTTTTGGAAACTATATTCCAATATAGAAATATAAACAAAGTTTTGGCAGTTTTTTAAAGCTATGATGCACACATACATCCACGTCAGCAGAAATGCCGTTCCTGTGGGGGTAGTGTGGAGTGGGTTGGATACTTCTGCTTGCGATCCTCTGCTCACATATGTAATTTCTATCGTGGAAACAGGAAATTTTCTAGCAACAAAATCCTAAAACTTAACACCTATTCTCGGTATTGCAAACAATTTTGTGTCGGTTTTGTGAACAGCAGAAAATTTCAGTTTTCAATTTTCATTAGCTATTTTTTTTTTCTAAACGTTGCCAGTATGGTCCGGGCAGCAAAAACTTAGCTGTGAATGTGTTTTGTAACGATTTCATTATTCGGCTTTTTTTAATTGTTGGGAAAAAGTTGTTGGATTTTCACAGATTGAAGTTGTAACATTGATACAGTATCAATTTAATAAATTAATTGATGAATATTTTATTAAAAATATATATAAATTTGAATCACTTTTCATCTCAATGGAACGCTTTTGAAAAAGGTTGGAAATAAAAAACAAAGAAGAGAAAGGTTCTCAATGTATTCATCAACTGGAGCGAACCGAATTACTCAAGAGAGTATGAATTCACAGTAAGAGAATAACAATAATAAACTGAGAGAAAGATAAACAGAAATAAGAAAGCAGCAGACGTGGGAGTATAAATTGAGTGATGAACATTTATTTTTAATTAAAATAATTAAAAAAAAAATTATTAAAAAGATTTAAAATAAAAAATATTTGAAACTGTTTTGAAATTAATGGGAACAAGTAAAATAGTATCAGTCGGTATTGTCGACAGATGTATACCCCCAGCCTTGAGTTATAATTATTCAAATTGTTTACCCTTTATGGGGGAGGTTCCAAAGCAGTTGGCCAATATTGATCAATTCGTATCTGACCTTAGACTGATATAAATAGTAAAACGTGCCAGATTTGGACTATATCGACTACTTCCTATACTTTATATCAGATAAGATCAATTTTTTTGGAAAATGTGGATATATGCGTGACTGTTACCTAGTGGAATGAAGTATTCCATTTTCTACTTCATCGAATACAGATAAAATTATTGATATGGACAAAATTTGAAAGAAATCGAACAGTTATATCCAATTTTAAGCGAGATTATAAATTTTGTTAAATCACATATTCATATAAGATTTCTAGCCGCCTAGTCACCAGATGGAGTGGACCAATATATTCCATCTTCACACCAGGCCATAAGTTAATAAAAATATTGTGATATGTGTAATTTAAAGACAATCGGGCTCTTACATTACATTTTATAAGAATTATAATTATTCAAAATCTTGAACCTTTGTGTAGGAGGTATTGGATAGAGTGTACCGATGTTGCCCATTTTCGCACCTATCTCAGAACTCATGCAAATATTAGGATATGCAAAGTTGGAGCAAAATCGTATTATCCTTTCTCTTTTTGTGCTGCAAATTATTTTCTTTGAAAATTTCTACCTTTTGTGTGAAAGGTACCACAAGGAGTAGACCAATATTGCCCATCTCCGAACTCGAATTAAGTTTGACAATAATATTGCGATGTACAAAGTTTGGATCAAACCAGATACTCCCTTCGAGAGTTATCGTGGGCACTAGCCAGACGCACGGGCGGACGGACATCGCTAGATCGACTCCAAATGTCCTGAAACGGATTTGGCCCAAAAATACCTAGGGTTTAATACCGATATTTCGAGGCATGATTATGGCCGTATTAAATGATATATACTCTCTGTAACCATATGGCTGGGGGTATTAAAAGAGGTTGAAAGTAAAAATGGGAAAAGTTCTCAATTCATTCATCGACTGTAGCTGAGAATGTTGCGAAATTTCAAAATTGCTTCTACATTTATAAATAAACAATAAAAGAACGAAAAACTGAGAAAATATAGCAAATTAGAAAGCAATACTTAGTTTTACCAACGGGGATTTGTGGGAAGGTGGCAGAATTAGTAGCCTGATATATTCAAGCTTTTATTTTCATTCGAGTTTTGATCAGATCATGGACCCCATTACATTTTTATGAAAGATTTTTTAATAATTTGGAATCGACCAAATCAAAGTCTATTTTCGATTTATTTATGATTGACAATTATTCAGAAAATTTATTGTGTGTGAATTTAAAAAATGTGTTTTAAGGACTCAATCGAACCCATCATCGAAAAAAGAAAATAAATAAACGTTGCAATTTATTTAAACATTAAAACAATAATAACTCATTTTCATTTTCAAATGAAAAACACACACACAATTAAAAAACACACTTAATTCCAAAAAGGACACTCACCGCCGTCTCCAATTCCTTGGCAGATGCATTTATCCGTATGTCACGATGCGTATCCTGACCCATAATTTTCGTTTTAATTATGTAGAAATCAATATTATTGTAAAATTCCAACGGACGTTTCCAGCGTATCGTTAATGAGTCCTGCGAGTGACATGTCAAATTGACAATAATTGGAGCACTTGGCACTCCGACATCGGTGCGCTGAACAATTATGTCCGAAGATTCACCTTCGTTCTTGGTAGTGAAAGCATTCACTTTGATGCGATACTCGGTGAAGGGTTCTGGAAAAGAGTAAGAGTGGGTGGAAATTGATTAATAAAGAAAAAGTATTAAAAATTATTTAAAAAAAAACAAGTGGTACAATTTAATACATTCGAAAAAAATATTGTTTGTCCTCTTCTCGCATAAGGACAATTTTGTCGAGTTAACATTGGCACCATTGGGGAAGCTAATCGAGAGCAAGATTATGACAGAATGGCTTAAAAATTAAAATCAAGTGTATCGGCGTTTTAACAATTAAGATTGCAAAGAATCCTTAATGGAGGAGGCAAGTTCCCCCCTCTTCCACTTTTTTTTGTAATTTTCTGATAAAGATCCTTTGGAATCCTTACCTTACCTTTTAGGTATATAGTATCTTCTGCAATACATGATAACAATACAAGGATTATTTTGATCGAAAATGTTAATCCCTAAGCAAGTGATCGGTACGAGAACTTGGGATTTCCTGTTGTAAAGTGTCAATTTCGAAATATATACTTATATCAAAAGGGATTTCTAGCCTCGAAGTCACCAAAATATTGGAACCCCTTGAAAATAAAAAAATATGGTCATTAATTCGAAAAAGGAAATATTCCGGCATTTTTTTGGCAATTTAATAAAAAAATAAATAAATTTTATAATTCGGAGATGGGCAATATCGGTCTACTCCTTCTGGTACCTTCCCAATAAAATGTCAACTTTTTAAAAGACAATAATTTACTGCACAGAAAGATACGGGATAATCTGATTTTGCTATAACTTTGCAAATCCTAATATTTGCATTAGTGCTAGGTCAGGTGCGAAAATGGACAAGATTGGTCCACTCCATCAAGTACCTCCCCCACAGAGGATCAAAATTTTGAATGATTTAAACTCTTATCAGACTTGGCACATCTCAATATTTCTATCAACACGAGGCCTGTTACAAAGATGGTAGATATCGGACCATTCCTAAATTTTGAATAACCAAAACGATCGTAAAATCCGAAATAAGCATCCGGTTCACTTCAGATTTCGCTCATCCCATTACCCGTACTAACACAAGATGTTTTGTGATATATCCGCCCACTCCTTCTGGTACCTTCACCACAAAGGATCCAATTTTTAAATATACAGGGTGAGATAAAAAAACTGCAACAAAGTCAATCGCCATAATTTTTAATTCGTTTTTTAATTTTATTGAATGAAAGCAAAAAATGTGGGAAATAACATCAAATTTTAGAATAAGTTTAGATTTGTTCGAATTCGTTACATTTGGCACGAATTATGGCCTTCAAACGGCCAATGAAACCGTCACACGCTGTCCACATGTTGCTCTGCGGTATTTTGGCCCATTCCCGACGAAGCGCTTGCTTGAGGTGATCGACACTTTGGTATTTTTTAGTGCCAACCTTGCTTTCCAAAATACTCTAGACACAAAGATCCAATGGATTGGTATCCGGAGATTTTGGTGGCCATTGTGGGCTGGAAATGAAGTGAGGAACCTCATTTTGTAACCATTCTTGGTTGGCGCGTGCTGAGTGCGAATGTCCAAGGTCTGCGGTCAAAATGTTGCGTGCCCACGGCTTTAATACACACTCCAGAATATTTTCACGATAACATTCGGCATTTTTTCTAGCGGAGAGCGACCATCGGCTGTTATGGCGGCCCACACCATCACCATGGCCGGCGCTTGATTTCTGTTGGCCAACCGAAGGTGCACATTTTCAGCTGACCTCTTTGGCAAGTAAACACGATCATTTTGTTTGTTTACAAACTGCTGGACAACGAATGTTTCCTCATCGGAATAAACCAAATTCGGCAGTTCACCACTTTCGGCCAAGCAAAGCAACTTTTTAGCTCTTTTGAGTCTATTTTCTTTCTGTTGCGGTGTAAGTTCTTGCACTTTTTGGGATTTCAATGGTTTTACCCCGAGCTCATTTTTCAATATTTGCCGAATGGAAAATTGCGATATGTTCAGCTCGATCAAGTCGCTTCTTTACTTTTTGAACCATTTCTGCTGATGTTGCTGTTTTCTTCATTCCACTTCCTTGGAGTCGAGCTACGCTACCAGTATCACGGTAACGAGAGCTGGTACGAGTCACAAAAGATTTAATCACATTTAAATGCTGGAGTGCTCTAACGATAGCCACTTGTGATTTTCCAGCCAAATATAAAGACATCATACTATCACGCTTGAATTCCATCACGAATAATTTTTTTTCTGGAAAATTCTCACCAAAATGCTTTCGTACGGAAGAAAACAGTAACATCAGCAGAAATGGTTCGAAAAGTAAAGAAACGACTTGATCGAAACCCGCGTCGCAGTGGCCGAAAAATGGCTTATGAGCTGAACAAATCGCAATATTCTATTTGGAGCTTGGGGTAAAGCGAAAAATATTATGGAGGGTGTATTAGAGCCTTGGGCACGCAGAACTTGGACATTCCAACAGAACTCAGCACCATCGCACTCAGCACGCGCCACCCAAGAATGGTTACAAAATGAGGTTCTTCGCTTCATTTCCAGCGCACAATGGCCACCAAAATCTCCGGATACCAATATTTTGGAAAGCAAGGTTGTCACTAAAAAATACCAAATTGTCGATCACCTCAAGCAAGTGCTTCGCTGGGAATGGGCCAAAATACCGCAGAGCAACATTCGGGCAGCGTGTGACGTTTTCATTGGCCGTTTGAAGGCCATAATTCATGCCAAAGGTCACCAATTTGAACAAATCTAAACTTGTTCTGAAAGTTGATGCTTTTTCCGACATTTTTTGCTTTCATTCAATAAAATTAAAAAAAAATGTAAAAATTATGGCGTTTTCTTTGTTGCAGTTTTTTTATCCCACCCTGTATATATATCCCTCTAATTTGGAGTCAATGAATCAGAATGCTAAGTTTGTCCAATTATATATTTAATATAAGTATATATTTCGAGAAATTCCAGGTTCAGGGGGTATCTTTATATAAGAACTATGTCAGATTCTGATATAGCTACCATATATAAATCCCTCTAATTTGCAAAGTTTGTTCAATCAGGTTGAATTTTGGATCATAAGATCGATTTTCGACCACAATAGAGTCTCCCATGTTGGAACTAAATTGCTTCAGACACTGCTAAACTCCTATATTTTTCTGTGGATTTTATATTTAACGTTTTTCAAAGTCATAAGTCACTCTATGGCAATGATATTTGGTTAGAGACCACATAGGAGCTGAAAAAAATACCTATGTCAAATTTATTATTCTATTCGATTTTTAGCCGTAATATACATATATATATATATATATATATATATATATATATATATATATATATATATATATATATATATATATATATATATATATATATATATATCATTATTTCCTCTCAGCTTAATATGCATAGTGGTATAGGGTATCATATATTCAGCCCCGCCCGACTTTTCTCCTTTCCTTACTGGTTCTTGTTTAATATTTGTCCTCTACAGAGTTACTTCCATTTATTAACCAATCACCAAAAAATAAATAAATCTCTACCCCCAAATATGTTCCAATATTTGTAAAATTTTCGTTCTCTCTCTCTCCGCTTCACAACCACTGCTCATTAAATATTCCTCAGTTGGCTCGCCTGTTATTCTAAAGTCTCGTTGACTATATAATCAGCTTTTGGAGTTTATTTTTTCCCGTGCTTCACTCTTTTTTTTCCATTGTTTTGTTCAGTTTTTGTGCCGTGGCATTACACTATTTCTCATTATGTAAAATGTTTGCACATTACTGCGCTTCCAAATAAGTTCCGAACCAATCCAGCAATGGTGGCTTGGGTTGGTGGCCATATAACAGCTACAGCTACAACACCAATGTATGCTGACCATGTTAGCTTTTGTAATTTCCACTCTGTTGACTCAATTTTCCATATGTATTTTTATGTTAATCAGCTAAGAGTATTAATTAACATTAAATTTTCATATTTAATAATTATTGCATTGGCAACGAAGCCAAGAGGAGGAGGATGGGGTGGGGTGAGGTGTTGTGAACAACAGCTTCATTGTACAAGACCACCATCAACCCAACCATCCTTAGTAGTTTGCCCGCCAGCTCAACATGACAGAGGCAGTGACCATAACCAGGAGACCAACAAGATTCTGGCCAATGTCCTTGTTAGCGTTGTTGTAGTTGGTGTTGTTTTAATACTCGCAGGGTTGTATTTTGCCTCGTCGCTTGTTTGGCTTAATAATTGCACAGAAATTCTTTGCGGCAATTCGGCCAGGAGTACAAAACCACTGGCCATGCAATGTCACACTGTGGTGGGGCATGGGGGGAGGGAGGTGATGTCAGTATTTGGGGAGTCATCCGCGAATACCGGGATTTTTCTATGGAAATTATGCAACACAAAAGCAACAGCAGACAGGATATTCAGTCAATGACAGTTGGCTGGTGGCGGTGGTATCAGTGACATTGTCATCGGTAGATGGAAATATTTCTCCATTACCACCACTACCCCCGACACCAAATATCGAATAAAGCCATTGTTGTCCATTATTATGCATGTCCATTTATGTATATAACAAAGACAACAACAACCACACCAACAATACGATCTACAGTGAGAGTGCAGTGAGAGTAAAAAGCTTTCACGTTGTATGTACATTATTTGCATGGTTTTTGTTGTTGCTGTTGTATTTTGACAACAATTGGCCACAATGGGTAGTGACAGTAAAAATACTTTGGTCCGAATTAATAACGTTTAATGTGATTGTAATGAAATGTGAAAGGATAATACACCAAGGAGACCACAACAGTGAACAGTTTTATTGGCCGTGGGGTGGTGGTGTTGGAATGGTGAGAAAATCGAGCAACAATTTAAATTAGGGTGACCAGATATTTTTTTAATAAAAATTATGCATTATTTGGTTGGATATAAAAGATCAGGTCAATCAGGCTTTCATAAAATTTTGAGTTTGTTAAAAATACTTTTGATTTTGGAAAAAGATTTTTCTCTTTGCTAATAGTCAGGGGAATTGACATATCTCATCTGGCCACCCTAATATTTTCCCATTTCCACTATAGCCCCACAAAAAATATAAAACAATGTCCTGCAATCGCCACGAAATGTCTTGTCATAAAATAATTAAACAAATGAGATTATTATGACAATAGAGTAAACTTTTAAGTCTTGCTGTGGGAATGGCCTTTCATTGTCGTTCCTTGTCAATGAGCGTTTTCGCTTTTAAACATAAGCCTGTGGATTTTTTTCCAGCGCATAATAATACAATAGGGAGTCTTCTTATAATGTTAATGAAAGTCCATTATGAACATCGTAAAAAATGGAAATTCAATAAATAATATTAAAAAGGAAAAGTTCGCATAACAATTATGTGAACCAGGGGAAAATGGTTCTTATGGGGTATTCCATGGTTTTTTTTTTTGGGGAGTTGAATGTTGGATGATGAACAAACAAGATATGCATTTAAAAATCTAAACCTAAATAATTGAAATCGTATTTATTAACAATTAATTTGATGAATTTACTCAAAGGTGAGCCACAGAAGAAAGTTTTACTCATAACTGAAAGAAAACTTTCCAGAACTAACAAAAGCAAAAAAAAAAAAAAAAAAAATAATAATAATAATAAATAAATAAATCCATATTAGAATTTTAAGACTAAGTATTAGAAATTTTTTAATGTGAACCGATTTCGACAAAATTTTGGATATATAATTGTGGTATTTATACGGTAGAGTTCGAAAATAAAGAAACCCGCGGCGCAGTGGCCGAGAAATGGCTTATTAGCTGAACATATCGCAATATTTCATTTGGCAAATTTTGAAAATGAGCTCGGGGTAAAGCCATTGAAATTCCAAAAAGTGCAAGAACTTACACCGCAACAGAAAGAAAATGGACTCAAAAGAGCTAAAGAGATGCTTCGCTTGGCCGAAAGTGGTGAACTGCCGAATCTGGTTTTCTCCGGTGAGAAAACATTTGTTGTCCAGCAGTTTGTAAATAAACAAAATAATCGCGTTTACTTGCCAAAGAGGTCGGGTGAAAATGTGCACCTTCGGTTGGCCACCAGAACTCAAGCGCCGGCCATGATGATGGTGTGGGCCGCCATAACAGCCGATGGTCGCTCTCCGCTCGTATTAATCGACCGAGGCGTCATAATAATGACCAATATTCTGGAGGGTGTATTAAAGCCATGGGCACACATTCCAACAGGACTCAGCACCATCGCCCTCAGAGCCAAAGAATGGTTACAAAATGAGGTTTCTCGCTTCATTTCTAGCGCACAATTGCCACCAAAATCTCCGGATACCAATCCGTTGGATTATTGTGTCTGGAGTAGTTTGGAAAATAAGCTTGGGACTAAACAATACCAAAGTGCCGATCACCTCAAGCTAGCGCTTCGCCGGGAATGGGCCAAAATACCGCAGAGCAACATTCGGACAGCATGAGACGGTTTCATTGGTCGTTTGAAGGCCATAATTCGTGCCAAAGGTGACCAATTCGAACAAATCTAAACTTGTTCTAAAATTTGATGCTATTTCCGACATTTTTTGCTTTCATTTAATGAAATTAAAAAAAAAAAAATAAAAATATGGAGTTTGATTTTATTGCAATTTTTTATTTCACCCTGTATTGCCGAAGGAAATGTATTAGATGTGGAGCTTGGGTTACTTCGCCATATAAAGCGCCGCCGATGCGCGTGTTCTCCATTTTTAGCTCTATTTTAGTTTTCCAGAAATAATTAGAAAATATCTGTTTTGTCCCACAAATTGTTTCCCCTAGTAGATTCCAAATGTCAGTTACCCCCTTATCTTCAAACCCATTTCTCCGTTGAATATCATTCCCCAAACCCAAAAATTCCAATATTAATATCTCAATACTTACTTAATTTTGGCAGCTCAAAGCGTATGGCCGAATCGGCAGCACTGCGCTTAACAATTTCCACACCCGTTTGATTCTCGTGTATGTGATAGACATGATAGCCGGCAATTGCGCCATTTTGATTTTTTGGCGGATGCCAAGACATGGTTATGCTGGTCGCCGTTACATCGAGGACGGTGAGATTTTGTGGTTTACTTGGCACTGGAAGTAGACGAGAAAAACAAAAACAAACATTAGGTAAATAAATATAACTAGAATTTATGGTTTATAACAAGAAAAAGTTTTACAACATCACGTTTACATAACTGGCTTTTTTTTCGTTTCGTCGTTGAAGAATAACTTTTGATGGCTAGGGAGGAAAAAGAACCACAAAAATGCAAAAAAAAAAAAAACTGGAATTCTAACAAAAATCTGCAACAACCGCATTTCAAAGGATTCCTTTCAATGAAATCCCTTACAAGCGGAAAGCCAAGAAAATATTGAACAACAACTACGGAGGGGGGAGGAGGGGAAAAGCCAGACAAGTCAAAGGATATGACCGAACGGCCATTCCATTCACTGGCACGAAAAGTCAAAGTAGCATTTTGGTTAAGGCTGCAGCAAATTTTGCCAGCTTTGCAGCATATGTCGCTCACAATGTCAATATGTTATGGAAAATAAAAAAAAAACATTGCAAATAGAGAAACAAAAAAATAGCAACCAACCATCGGGATACCTATGAAAGTGGAGAACATATGCAAAAAAGAAGAAGAAAATATTATATTATTATTTCCTTGACGTTGAAAGAACCAGAAATCAAAACTCCTTTGAAAACTTCGAAAGGATAACAAGGATTTCTTAAGAAAAGCAAAGCAAAAACCTTCAATATCTTTTCGGTTTCAAAGTCAAAAGAAGTTCTATAACTGTGTGACTGGCTGACTGACATTAGCCCAGCAAAGTCTAGGAAACGCCCCTTAAGTTTCCTTAAGCCAAGTATTGTATTTCAATACAAAATTCAATTCCTTTCCGTATTTTTTTCTGTTTTTTTTTTTTTTCATTTATACCCGCATCTTAACACTTGCCAACGGTATTGTGGTCGTTTATTCATCTATTTTCCGTTGACTGCTGCCATTGTCTATTTGTTTCAAAAAAATGTAATCGTTTTTTTTTTTGGTATTGTATTTAAGGATTTCTAAAACAAAAGGAATCCTTTAACAAGTTTCGTTGTGTTTTCTTGTTATTTTTGGGCTAAGCGTTGACCTAACCTTCAAAGCCATTTGCAATTCAATGCGTTTCGAAGGAGAATAATATATTCAGTTTAGTTTTTTTTTTTTTGGTTCAAGAGGTTTGAATGTTTTCTTTGTTTTAAAATAGCACTTGATGGAGGAGGCGGGGGTGACTAGAAATGATGTATGGCCCACCTAAGTCATTGTTTGTTGATTCTGACAGTGGTTCATTGCTTCTTGTTTACTTTAACAGCGATATATATGAGAAGTCCTTAAGAATATTTTTACCAAAAAAGTCCTCGGGAATAATTTTTAAGAATCCGGTCGAGAAGTTTGAGCATTGTTTTTTTGATATATTTAGGAGTGGTTCCGACATAGTGGGCTAATATTGTCAATTTCGTATCTGACATAAGTCTGATATTTGTATATTTGGATATGGACTGTATTGGCTATTTCTGTTTTTAATATAGCTCTATCCATTCACATAATACAGATGGTACCATTTTAAGAGTTAAGGACCATTTTAGGACTTTTCGTAACATTAAAGTTCGAATTTGGTACATCTACCCTGTATTTCATCAAGAACTCTCATTTCAAATTTTAGAAGTCTAGCTAATTCTGTTTGTCCAATACAAAGTATTAAATTTTAAGTACGTTTTAGTTCTACTAGTTAATTACGTTTTAGTACAATCCTTTTCGTACGAACTTCCAGAAACCCAGCCTATTCACGGGCCTACACACCAAGACTGGCGCACATGCAAAACTTGAAAATTCTACTTTCGGTGGGTAGTGGGCCGATATTCTTTATTTTCGCACCTGACCTGGCACTGACAAAAATATTGGGACTTGCAAATTTGGAGCAAAATCGAATGATCCTTTCTCTTTATATGAGGTAAATTATTATCTTTGAAAATGGTGATCTTTTGTGGGTGAAGGAGTTGACCAATGTTGCCCATCTCCGGACTCGATCTAGGTTTGACAATAATATTACGATGTACACAAATTGGACGAAATCGGGTACGAGAGTTATCATGAGCATCAGCCAGATAGACAAACGGACACCCCTTAAAGGACTCTAAATGTCCTGAAAGGGATTTGGTCCAAATAGATATAGGGTCTTAAAACCGTTATTTCGACGAAATACGTTTATGGTTGAGGGAAGCAACGTATCCGGCCTAGGTGATCCGAGCCCCCTTCGAAATTAGATTTTTTAGGCTATTTTTCTTGAAAATCAAAAAGAGAGGGCTGATTTCGCCATTTTTGTACCTGATATAAGATTGTAAGTCGAACTTTCTATACCCTCTACAATGTAAAAATTTCCGTATATGGATGATATCCACAATTAACTCCTTTCGCAATTTTTTGATTTTTATGATTAAATAGACCATAAAGATTCGAATGTTATACCCAATCGTCATACAATATCTAAAACGATGGTATGAAGTGCCCTCCCAAGGTTATAGAAGATAGAGGATCAATCTCACACATATTTAGTACTTTTCCTCAAATTATGAAGAATTAGTTTTAAACCTAACATTTAACCATTAATGTCTATGGCTAGGCTTTGCAACATTTCCCTCCTTTTCCACATCATTTTTTTCTCATCATTTACCGCTTTTTTGCATTCCTCTCTCTCTCCCTATATGACATGTTGTATTGCAAATAAAAAAAAAACTCCAATCCCTTCACATCACACGCAATAATATTCACATTCGAACACAACAACCTTAATCCAGCCGCTGTGACAGATGTTAATTTTTGGGCTGAGCCACAAGAGATTTACAACAGTAAAAATTGCCAACTATCACATTGTCAAGTCGGTGATATATCCGGGGCAGAGATTCAAGCAAACAAAACTACAGTGTCAGCCATTTTTTGTTGTTTTTGCTGTTGCTTTACATTGTACGCCCTCAGATTTGAGAGAAAAAAATAACGGTATTCAATACATTGACACAGCAACACATAAAAAGGATTAAAAGCTCAAAAGAGCAAAACAAATGACAAAGGTTTTAGCCTCAGGCCTAAAAACAATAGTAAAAAAGACGAAATAGAAAAATAAAAAAAACAGAAAAAAGAGGACGAAGAAAAAACACGAAAAAAACAATAGCCTGACATATTTTTACTCCATTGCTTTGACAATGTATGGCCAACAAGGAAAAAATAAAAACACAACTAACAATGACAGAAAAAATAAAACAAATCCATTGTAAACGTTTTTCATTCATCATCAGCATCATCTTCATCTTCATCGTCGCCATCATCATCGATTGGGTTACTTTTGATATTTACGTTGTCCTTTTTTGCCTTTCTTTATCTATTTCGTTTGGAAGAACGTTGAAACAAAAGTACTTTGAAATTCCAATAAAACAAAATCTAGTTAAAAGATTTTGTTGTGTTATCGGAGGTTTTATCTTTAAGGAAAATCGAGAAATTTTCCCAGCTTTCGGAAGTGATGGAATAGGGGGAAAATGAGCCTATTTTCTAAGGATGACAGGACATGGCATACCAAATAAAATTGAATTGTTATCCTTTTTGTTTCGAAGTTTTATTGTTTTAGGCGTGAATGACATTTAAGGTGATGGATTTCGGCAATTCCGACTAAAGAAATGTTTTCCTAAGTGTAAATAAACGATTTTCGATTCTTGGAATCAGTCAAATTCCAAAGGAGAGAAGAAAATAAAATAAACGAAGAATTAATGGTTTTTTGTGCTACTTATGACCAAACTGGGTTCGAATTAATAAATTAACGTCTCATTAAATCCCTTGAATTTTATCAACCTACAAAAAACGAGACCTTTTGAGTCCTTAAATTAAAATTAAAAATCCGTTTTTCAAAATAATTTATTGAAGTATTAATATTTTGCTAGAAGTTTTATACACAGAATTCCGTAGGATTTGCAGAACCTTCGAGGCGGTTTTGGTATTCCCCTCGGATATTTTTTTCCATCTAGCTTTGAAATATAAAAAATTATTTAAGGATTTTTTTAATCCTAGACTCCTATGTTTTTAGATGGACCTTTTATAAATCTTCAAATATGCGACAAAATTCAAATCTTCAAATAATTAGAGGAAAGGCCAGAAGATTATGAAATAAGAGCTAAAAATAGAAGATATGAATATCGGCTGTTTGAATATGGATATGAATATCGGAACCTAAATACAGAGACCAAGCTCCCCTCTCTTTCTCATTTTTTGAAAATTTTGGATTAAGATTGATATATAGTGTATTCCGCAACATTTTAGATCAAAATAAGGGGATTATTTTGGTCAAAAGTCTTAAACCTCAATCGAGACAAGAAAGGATGGATGGTGGATAACTCCCTTTGAAGGGGATCGTCGCAAGTCAAAATATTCTACAAAATTATTTGTCCTAAAATTCTACTAAATTCTACACTTAAATTAGAGCACTACAGCATTTAAATGTGAATAAATCTCTTGTGTCTCGCACCATCGCTCGTTACCGTGGTACTGGTAGCGTAGCCCGACGTTAAGGAAGTGGATGGAAGAAAACATTAACATAGCAGGAATGGTTCGAAAAGTAAAGAAGCTACTTGATCAAAACCCGCGTCGCAGTGGCCGAAAAATGGCTCGTGAGCTGAACATATCGCAATATTCCATTAGGCAAATATTGAAAAATGAGCTCGGGCCATTGAAAATTCCAAAAAGTGCAAGAACTTACACCGCAAAAGAAAGAAAAGATACTCAGAAAAGAGCTAAAGAGTTGCTTCCATTGGTCGAAAGTGGTGAACTGCCGAATTTGGGATTTTCCGATGAGAAAACATTCGTTGTCCAGCAAACAAAATGATCGTGTTTACTTGCCAAAGTGGTCAGCTGAAGATGTACACCTTGGGTTGGCCACCAGAACTCAAACGTCGGCCATGGTGATGGTGTGGGCCGCCATAACTGCCGATGGTCGCTCTCCGCTCGTATTAATCGACCTTGTCATTAGAATAAATACCGAATATTATCGCGAAAATATTTTAAAGAGCAAGCAAA